GCCTGTGGTGGCTCTGTTGAAGCTTTGCTTCTTTCAGAACCTTTTGCTTCTGGTGGCTCTGTTGAAGCTTTGCTTCCTCGCTTGGGGCACTGGGTGCCAGGGTTGCTAGCTTTGAACTTGAAGAGGCCACCCCTGACATTGCAAAGCCTGTTTTTGCGTGAAATTTCACTGCTTCTCGCATTACAGAACTCTCCGGGGCCAACTCGCCTTTGGCAAGGTCGGGGGACGCACGCCGTTTCTTCCACGCCCAAGAGCCTGGGCTTCTGTTAAATTGTGCAACTTTGCGCAGACCCGCCAGACGGAAAACAGGGAACTGTGAATCCAGCGCTGCAGTCCCGGTCACGCTTAGCAGCAGCAAGCGGTTTTCCACATACCATCCATGTCAGGGTGCCGCCAAGGGGAGTGCTAGCAGAGTCCAGCCCAAACGGCCGTCGCCAAAGTGGTAACTCTTGCTAAAGGGCTCTCCCTTCGTTGGATCGATTTGTCTTCAACTGTCTTTTGTTGTCCACCATCGCCAAAAGGCCAGCTTCTTCTCCCACTCACTGTGGTCTCGCAACTGGTCGGCGTTTGTTGACTCAATCTCTGCCACCGTTGCTGATGTCTATGTGGGCTGCGGCTGTGTAAGCAGGCGTGCCATCCCGTCTGCATTGGCGCAGGCTGCGCCGGAGATCGCCGCAAAGCAGATCTTATTCTCGTCAATGTGCTTTCTCGTCACCTTGGTTTCAGCAGCATACTTGGCTGCTTGGAGCATCTTAGTCATTTTCAACAAGCCCGACTCGGTGACTCTTTGCTGAAGCAACGAACAACCTGCCGCCAACTTGACCCTCTCACAAGCCAGTTCGCATCACTAGTGGGCATGTCCTTCATTGCTTTCCCGTTTTGACAGCGCAATCTGTTCAAGCTTCGCAGCACACGCTTCTTTCTGCCCCTCAATTCTCTTCCGAGAACCGTGGCTTGACCTTCTTGCCAGCGCTTAAAAGAGAATTCCTCTTTCAACTTGTTGGCCACACGCCGGTCAAATTCCCCCATGTCATCAACATGCAAGGCAATCACTCCGTGCAGTTTCTTGTTCCAACCTTCGGAGAACAATGGGAACTGCCTGAAGCGTACAAGCCTGTGTGCAGCTAAGCTTATTTAAGCCCACCGAGCGTGGCAAGAAAAGGGGGTATGCGAGTCTTGACGCGGGGAACCCGCCCGATTGACTGTACATATTCCAGCGGTGTGGTTCGTTTCAAGGCCAACGGTGCCGTTTCTGGTGCAAATCCACAAGTCCAGCCATGGACCAAATGAAAGACACCATTTGCGCAAGGCGCTTGAAGCAGTTCATCCACGTGCGCAAACAATCTCGTCAACACACCTGCAAATGCATTCCCAGCGGGCCGCCTATGGGAAAACTTCTTGGTTGAGTGAAAGGACAGTCACCGAGCGTCTCAACTCTTTGCTGGATGACCAGGGAAGCAACATCACAGATCCCGCAGGGGCAAAACGCCGCGTGGTGAGGTGGCGTGTTTTCGACACACATGCGCCGCTGAAATTTTGCTCGCTCTGGCTTCACCGCAGCCGGCTACGAGTTCATTAGCCGGAATGTCCTCAAACATTTGGGCTGCGTCTGCTCCCCGAATTGTCCAGGGTTGCTTCTGGCGCTTGCGGGTTGCGCGTGTGTGGTTTGTGGGGCTGAGCAGCGCTGCTTTTGATTTGAAATCCGCAGCTGCTGTCTTCAAGCTCTTTGTCTCGTTTACTGCCGCATCTAGATATATGATGTGCTGTTTGGCCCTTCCTATGGTGCGGCGGTAGTAATGCTTCAGTGGATGCCACCAACTGAAGACGCGTCAGAAGCACGCGTGCCGGTGTTGGTGTTTGGCGCGCGTGCGACCTACTGCTGTCTGGTGACATTTGCCTTGATATTGCAAAGGTTGTTGACACGCTGCAGGCGGTGTTTCTGCTGGGTTTCCTGCTGTCGGTGCTCAATGGTTCTGGTCTTCCGCCTGAGTCTGCGGACGTGTTGCATGTAAGGGGTCTTGCGCAGTCGCCAGCTGCTTTGTCTTTGCTTTCCTGCACACGAGCTTCGTGGGCTGCTTGTGGCGTCATGTTGCTGGCGCATGCTGTGAACAAAGTGTCGGGGTGGGAGCGCGGAGGGGGAGCGCTTGTGACTGCAGGAAAGTCCTTCCATTTGCTGCTCGGGTTATCTGGTGCTGCCGCAATGTTAGCTCAAGCTGGGCCCAGGCAGCGGTGATGTCCAGTAAATGCCAATAGTTCTGGTTTGCGCGTCGAACCCAACTGTCACAAAAGGAGGTTGCCCCTGCGCGCGAAAGCCTGTCTGCTAAGCGCCTACAAATGCCGCAGAGAACTCTGGCGGCCAGCGGATGCTGATCCTCCTGCATGTCCGTTTACGCGGCGCTTCCTAGGTGCGGAGGTCAAATTTGTTGGAAGCTGCGTAAGCCCACGCGCAATGTGGACGAGAATGTCCATGTTCTTGCGGGCCCGCTGGCAGGGCCGATCATAGCTGTCTGCTTTTGTGTTTGTGTGTGTGTGCGAATAAGTTGCGCTGAAAGCCTGGCATGCCTCCTGAGCATGTTGGCTTGCTGCCTGTGATGGCTGCGCTCGCTTTGGTTGCGTGAGGATTTTCCTTGCAGTGCTCCCCCCTGCCTGCAATCGGCTTATGGGGCTCTGTTGTGCTTGTGTTGATGGTTGAATCAGTACTGTTTTTCCAGTTGAGGACGCTGCCCACAAGCTCGCTGCTGCCCTACCTTTGGACATCCAGGTGTTGATGGCCGCAGCAAGTGCTTGGATTTGCCCAGTGGGGCCGATGCTGAGCGCGCAGATGTGTGTAACTTAGTTTGTCGTTTTTGTTTCCGCTAACTTGGCCGGCGTGGATCTTGCGCAAGTGCTGGTAGAAGCGCAAGCATGGAGAGCCGCCCTCGCATTGGTGTTCGCGAGTAGCTTGCTTGGTTTAAATGTATGAGTGCTGCTTGGAAGCAAGCTGGTAACATTGGTCTGGCCATGACGCAGAGATGGCTGGCAATGAAGGCTATGGTTGACACAAGTTCCTCCTCACTTGCCTTAAAGGTCACGGCAACCGCTGGCAGTATGGGACGCACTTGTTGCAGCGCGTGGCGCGCTGTCTCCGATTGCGGCGAGAGTTATCTTGCAGGCTGAAAGTGTAATGCTGAGAATGTCCGTTGTGATGTCGGTTGTCCGTTTCGTGAGTGTGGTGGAAAGGTGTGGTGTATGAACGCGCGGGAAATGATGTCGAGCTCGCTGACCTGGCTGTCGCACGTGTGAACAGACGTAGCGCAGTAGTTGCGCACAAGCGAAGGAGTGCAAACTCGGTGTCTTCTTCGAGCTTCATGATGGCATCTGCAACGTGTGAGAGTTGTTGCTGTGCGTGTCCAAAGGAGAACTGCCACAGAAGCGCGTGCTTGGAGTCTGCTTTGCTGCTTCAAAATGCTGAGTGGCGGGAGCTTTGTCTTGATGCAAGCGCATAAGCAAAATGAGCCGCACAAAAATTACAAACCCGCTCGCAAAGCCTGTGGCCCGATACCATGCATGTCTGTGCCAGAGACTACTTAAAATGGTTTTTTTATAGAAGGGGGCCTGGTTGTTCACCAGGAACCTGGCTCGTTGCACACATGGGTCTGGTTTTTTTGACGCTTCCCACCATAGCCTCGACTGCGCGCAGGGAGCCGGAATAAGCAACCAAACCGTGCGAATCTGATCGTGAGCCCGCTCGCTGTGTCGCTCCGAGCTTGCTCTGAGAACGGTCCGCTGGCGTCGCAATCAGGCTAACTTTCGAGCGTCCGAAGGAAGTGAAACCCGCAGGGCTGCGCTTTGTAGACACTTCAACTCCATCCGCACGCATCTTTTCTTACGCTTGCTTGTTCTTCTCCTTCCCTTTGTCAGGGAGCTAGCGGTCAATTGACGCGTGTGCCACGGAAGTGCCTTCCGCTCTTGCTTGGATGAGCGCCTCAACCAAGACCAAAACAAACGCGAGCAAGGCCTAAAACCACTCCACAGGGCAGCTAGGCTCTTCGCAAAAACGCTTCTCACCCCAACTCGCGGGTTTGGTCGCTGGGAATGCTGGCGATGCTGGCGGCTGTCGAAAATGTGGCAAGACGCGCTGAAGCGAAGCCTAACGTAGGTGGACTTGTTTGCGTCAGGTTTCGTTTCCGCACGCAGCAGGGCGCAAGAAAGGTCGGTAGTTCTGACACTACTGTCAGGATCAACAGGTCTGACTGGGGGTTCGGTTGTGGCCGCGCAGAAGCTCTGACACGGGAGCGGCGTCCGTGGCTAGTGAAAAAACGGGTCGTCAGGAGGAGTGTGGCGCCACGGCAACGCAGCGTCAAGGGATAATGCGGCGCCAGGGGGGATGCGGCGTCACAGGGCAAGTCAGAGAGTAAAGCGTGCTCAGGGTGAAATGCGGCTCCAGAAGGAGTGTGGCGTCGCAGGCGCCTGACCCAAACAAATTTCAAGTTGTTAATCGTTGTGGCGTTGGCCAGGACGCTAGTCGCGAATTTCAGCGCCTGACGCTTGTTCCTGGCACCCTTTCCTCCGCCCTTATAGGTGCATAATAGGCCGCGGCCGTGGCAAGAATAATCTTGGGCTAGAAAGGCAAAAGTGCCAAGCGCCCAAGATGACACGCGAAGCCTTGCAAATCAAGGAGGAAAAGTCGATAATGGTTCTAGAACTGGCGCGCACAGCAGCAACTGGTCCTCACAGTCGCTGGGCAGGTAGGGGCACCGCAGGCGCCATGCGACGCACGCTCTTGCAGACGAGGGTTCCAAGGCTCCGCCGCGCGATTGAACTTTGTGACTGTTGCGCGGTAGCCGCCAAAAGGCAGAACTGCCCTGCGTGTGCTGCGTTTTTACTGCATCGAGCTTGCTAGTTTTTGGCAGACTTTGGTGCTGAGGCGATCCCAAGATTCACGGGGACCTTGCTTGGCTGGTGTTTGCGCAAGTAGTAGCATCTAGTCGCACGAGTCAGCAAAACGCAGCGCGCCGAAGGAAGGTTTGCGACTGCGACAGCCTGACTGGCAGCCACCTGGGCAAGACAAGGCTTCCTATCCATGGCCACCAGGCGTCAAAGCGCCAGGCGGGAAGTTCGATTTGGCGGGGCTGGCGGCAATCTGCTTTTGCCACTACAACTTGCCCACTCGGAAGCAGGACACCTACATAAGCAGACAATCCGTTATTTGTTGTGACCAGCCGGGCCTCGAAACATCCGGCACAGGTGTAGAGGGGCAAGTAGCTTTGCATTGCGGGACAGTTGTGAACCTTGGAAGATGTACATAAATGCTAAGGCCCCCTCCCAACACCAAGGTCTCATAAGGTTTCGGGAAGGGGAGCGGGTCTGGATATCCGGCGCCGCGGAACTTCGACAATGTATTTTCCGTGCTAGGGGAACACTGCGCGTCATTTCAGGAATTGACTCGGATATTCGACTAACGGTTCTGCGGTAGCGTTTTGATACTTGATGAGTTTGCGCTACAGCTTTGAGGAAGCCTTTCAAGACCACTGTTTCGGAACCCTCCCAAGAACCATTGCTTCGCAACACGGCCCGCGGCATAGCTGTCCAGGCAGCCCATCCCTCCCATGTCTGTCTCAAAGTTGCTTTGCTCGAATTGCCGGACACTTTGCGGGAATAGACGCAGCGGTGGCTTTTAGCAAGCAAATGGGAAGTTTTTCAATTTCATTGCTGTTGCTGTTAAACATGACAATGTGCAACCTAAAAAGTGTGCGCAACTACAAACCTCTTGCCAACATAATGTGCAACGCAGCTGCTGGAGTTCCACGGAAGGGGCTAAGGGTGGTTTTTGCAGGGGCTTTCCCTTGCATGGCTGGTGCCCACATGCAGCTGCTGTAGCCGGCCTTGGCCTTGCGCTTGACGCTGCGCCTGTGCAGGGGGGAGGATGAAAGAGGCAAGCGTTCGTGTGGCCTCCTTTATGTTGCTCATGCGCCCTTGCCCTTGAATCGAAACTGTGGCCGGCGAAAGCCACTTTCTCACACGAGCGCGTGCGACAACACCCTGCGCCTCTAGAGCCTCACACGTCCATGCGCCTGCCACGAGACCAGGAGGCCCAAACGCGCGTGCGACAACATCCAGTCCCTTCAGAAACCTCTCGGGCGCTGCTCCTGCGGTGCGCTAAGCATTTGGCAGGTGTGGATGCCGTGTTGAGGTGTTGAGCGGGGGTACTTCGGCGGGCGCGCCAACAACAACAAGATTAACAGCAACAACCGCAGCCATGTCAACATGTGCACGCATCGCTCGGCAAAACAAAAGATGCTCAGAGCCTTGGTAAGCGTAGCTAGTTCAGCCTGGGCGTACTTAGTAACTTCTCTGGGGCGAACTTACTACGTTGGGCCCAGGCGTGCTTAGCAAGTGCGTCAAGTGTACTGTGCCGGGTGCGAAAAAAAACAGCGCGCTAAGTTCTCCCTGGCGAACTCAGCAAGGCGCACATTGTTTATTGTTGTTTTTCTTGTTGTCTGTTTTTCTTGTTGTCGATGCTCTTCTTTCTGTTGTCGGTCGGGGAGGTGTTTTTGTTTCAGTGGTTTGTTTAGGGGTGGCTGGGCCTTTGGTTATATCAGTGTTTGGTTGTCTCTTTCAGGTTGTTTGGTCGTTTGGCTTTGTGAGTTCTTAGGTTGCAGATTTCCGGATTGCTCTGATGTTTGGTGGTGTGTAGTTGGCTTTTTGTTGTGTACTGTTTGTTGTTTGCTGTGAGCTGTTTGTTGCTTGCTGTTTTCTGTTTCCTACTTGTTGTTTGTTGTGCTTGGTTATGGTTTGTTGTTTGTTTTGTGTTGTTTGCTGTTCGTTTCGTGGTTTGTGGCTTGTTGTGTGTTGTCTCTTGTTTGTTGTGTGTCGTTTGTTGCGGGTTGCGCGTGGCTTCTCAAGTCTTTTTTGTTTGTCTAGAGTTGCTTGCTCGTTGCTTCTTGGCGATTGTTGTTGGTTTGTTGCTTTCTCTTCCTTTCTGTTGTGTGTTTTCGCCGTTGTTTGTTGTTGCCCCTGCTGTTGGCGTTGCTATTAGTTTTGGAGTTTCTTGTTCGTGGCTTGTGGGTTGTTGTTGTTGTTGTTGTTGGCATCGTCGTCGTCGCTGTTGTTTGTTGGTTCTGGCTGGTTGCTGTCGGTTCTGGCTGTTTGTGTTTGATGTTGTTGCGCTTCGTTTGCTTGTTGTCTTACCGGTGTTTTGCCGTATTTTGTTGTTTGTCCTTGTCGTTTGTTGCTCGTTTTGTGTTTGTTGTTTGTTGTTTTGGGTTGCTGGTTTGAGCGGTGTTTGGCTTTACGTGGTGAGTTTAATGGTGGCTGGTGATTGTTTGACTTTTTTGTTGCTTGCCGTTTGCTGTTCATGGCTTGTTGTTTGTTGTGTCCTGTTTGCAGTTTATTGTTGGTTGTTTGTTGCTTGTATTTTGCTGTTTGTTTTGCGAGTTTTGTTGTTTCCTGTTTGTTGCGTATTGGTTTGTTTGCTGGCTGGTTTTTGTCTGTGGTTTGTTGCGGGTTGTGTGTTGCTACTGTGTTATTGTTATTTATTGTTTTTGCTTTTTGTTTCTTGTTCCTTGTCTGCTGTCTTATGTGTTGCTCTTTCTTGCTTGTCTCTTTGTTGTTGCTTGTTGCTGATGATTCTTGCTTGCTGTTCTGGTTCTTGGTCATGCTCTTGTTCTTGTTTGCAGTTTGTGTTGTGGTTCTTGTTCTTGCCGTTGTTGTCGTTGGTTAGTTTGTGTTGCTTGCTGCTGGCCGTTGTTGGTTGCTTTCTGTCGTTGCTTGTTCTTGACTGTTCTTTGTTTGTTGTTGTTGGTTTGTGGATTGATTGTTTGTTTGTTGTCGCTTTGTGTTTGTTGCTTGGTGTGTTGTTTGTTTGTTGTTGTTAGCTTGTTTGTGTTTTGGTTTGCTTCTGCTAAGATTTCCCGAGCCGCAGGCCAAAATCGTACGGACTGGTTCTGAGGCTCAACCTTTGTTCTTCGCCTGGTTATAAGGGCCCCGAACCCTTTTGGGGAGAAGTGTCTTTCACGCCTTCACGCAGCCGTATGCATTCAGCCACTTCATGCCTTTTATACCGTTTCGGCTCAAGTGCCTACCGTGGACAGGGTTGAAAGGAAAAGGGCGCACCTGCCATTGTCATCCGTGACCACAACGCCAACCGCCGCAATATCTGCCTTACAAAAACCCCTTAGCATTATTCTTACTTTGTGTGACTCTTGGTTACTGGATAGTGCAGTTCAGGATAGTAGTTAGTTTCAACTAGAAGCTTGTTGTTCTTGGTTCTTGGCAGGTTATCAGCCGTAAATGGCTCTACGGGTCTCAGCTGTGAGCAACGTGCAACTGCACCTTATGTATTCCTATTTGCCACGGCGCAATGGATTCTTCGGGAAGCCCAGGTAGAGCTACTGTCGGGAACCGCAGTTCAGCAAGTTCTGCCAACATGGTTGCTGCTCCAGCGATCGGGTGTTCTCCCGACACCTGGAGGAAGGTTAGTCACGATCTATGGGCTAGGGACAAGAACAGGAAAAGGTCTTCATCGGCATCACCCTCAATGTCAAGGAGGCGCACGAGAAGTGTGAAGAGCCCAGTGATGAAGACGAAGGATCGACTCAAATCACCTTCAGGTTCGAGTCCCGCAAAGGTCATGAAAGAGAATGCAGCCCTCAGAAAGGAAATGGAAGAAGGTTTTCGGAATATGGTGACTTTGCAAGCATCATACGAGAAGCTCAAGCAGGAGGATCTTGGCAGCGAGCCGAACAACAGGTAGCTCACACCCTTCGAGTGTCAGACGGAAAGCTTAAAGAAGCGGCCCAACACGTCGATGAACAGAAAGAGAAGACGAGACTTTCTGAAGATCAAGCGTCTCACTTTGAAGATCGATAACGAGCAGGCGGTGAGGCGAAGAAAAGGCTCATGGAGAGCGAGAGGATGCGCAATCAATTGTCTGCAACATTCGCTACGAGGAGGAAAGTGCTGCCATCAACAAAGGCCGTGTGGAGCAGATCAATCACGCTGCACTGGCTCAGGTCGCGCAAGACCAGGCAATGCTCATCTCTATTCAGGCGAGGATGCAGAGACAAGGTGAAGAAGAGGAACCTGAAGAATCACTTGTGACGAGGGTGAACAACGCCGTCAGATATGCAGAACAAGAGGCATCGCGTGCCCGAGTCAGTCTACGTGAGCGCGACAAAACTTACGCACGAAGCAAGCGATCCAGGAACGCGAGAACAAGATGAACCAGGAGATTCAGATGGCGCGTCATCAGATTCATGAGGGACAATCACTTCAAGACATCATAAGCAGGAAGAACAGCGAATACGACAAACTGGCGAGCGCAATAAAGAGTGTCCAACAACAACTGTTTGATGAGCAAACTGGACCCCGCGACTACTACGCCTATGTGGAGAGCGAGGTAGAAACTATGATGAACTGGATTCTGCTGAACATCTTGCTGCGGGCGGGGACATCGGTGGGAGCGCTACTGGGGGGTGACCCAGGCAAGGCAAGTAGCGCGTGCAACAAGTCCAATGTTCGTAATGATATATTAGTTGACGAGCCGCGTGGTCGTGAACCTACGGCGAATCAGCTAGTTCCTTATAAGCTGGGGTTTCTGTTTCAACGCGAACATAAAACCTGTAGATTGTAGCCTCGGCCCAAGTTCTGTTTTGTTTCCTGTTTATCAAGACCCAATGACACAGGCCCATATCGACCTTCTTTGTAGGACAATCGGCTCCGTTCCAGGAAGCAATCAGTCTTCTAATTGGAGTTCAGGTGGGGGGGCTGGCGGCAACGGCCATGGGAACAATGCTTCGATCACTTACTTTGGAGGATCCAGACTTTGATGACGACGAAGGCGATGATAAAGACGAAGAAGAAGGTGATTTAGAGAACGATGAGGAAGAAGAGACATCTCGTGATCGGAAAGAAGAAGGTCGAGAAGTCGTCATGCTGGTTCTGCCGATCGACCAAGGATTAGGAAGGAAGCTGAGAAGGTAACAGCACTTTTTTGGCCAAAGGTCACGCAGCTGAACAATTGGAAAAGGCCGCTAACTATGAACGTCATCAGCGCATCAACCGATCCCAACACCGAGACGTGGATGATCTGGTTGGCGTGCGCTTTC